TTCAAAAACGCCCTATCTCAGCTGCCGATTCAAAAACGCCCTATGTCAGTACATTTTCATTTTGAAGTGAGATAGGGCGTTTTTGAACCGATCTTCCACTCAGCAGTCGATATACAGAGTTACTCCCATAGTAAAAATGAATACATATTTTGTTCTAGTGAGGGACTAGTAATCGATACAGCTATGAAATTTTTACACAACATAGAAGAACTAAAAATTTATATTTTTTGGATTATGTCAGTATTGAAATGAAATGAGCGATACGTACATATATGTATTCATAATAGGGCGGTCATTAAAATATCAACGTCATGTGGCATCCATTTATTTTGGGTCTACATACAAAATACAACATTTTGAACAAATTTTTAGGGAACGCTACCAGGATTTTAAAGAATTAAATTTTTTTTTACTCAGCGATTTTAGGAATGTATATGAACATATTTGAATAATATGCCAAATTTATCAGCTTTCAAGTCAAACTTTTGTCGAATTTTTGCGATTTAAAAACAAAAAATCACCCCGGGTTGGGACCTCTTATTTTTTTAGTTGAAATGTTCGTGAATGTCTTTATTTTGTACGAAGAACAAAATAAATGGGTGCCTCATACAAATCTTAGATGTGGATATTTTAAGGAGCACCCCAAAACATACATATACGTATGTGTATGTATGTGCGTAAATTAGTGAAAATTGGTCAAGCCTTAGTAAAAAAAAACTCAACTACACTAAATTGTATCTACCGAGTCTGTAACTGGTAAATTTATTTGTCGATAATACTGAATAGCTGTAGCATTTTATTATTACCAAATATAAGGAACAAATTATTTACGTGGATATTTGGAATTTTTTTAACACAATTTTTCGGTAAAAAGAAGCTGTTACCTTCATCACATATACATACATACAACATATTTCGAAAATATTTAATTTAAAAGCGACTTATAATATTTGGTTGACATTAAACACAATCCACATTATAAAATACATAATCACTTTTTATTGTTTAAAAACAAATTCAATTAATGTCTTGATGTGATGTCCTTTAATGGCTGTATGAATTAATTTTGGCGTAAAATTTAAGAAAACTATATATTATTTTAGCATCGCCATCTTATACATATACTATTATCCCAATCCCCCCCACTAAGCATCCATACGTTCGCTCCAATAAACTCGAATTCATCTAAAAAATTTTACGCACACACATTATACCGTTACACTTAAATTAAACAGGATCTCTTTGGCGTTATATACGTTCATCTATGTCGCTCAGCGGCTATATGCCGCCATTGTGCGATCCAAAAGACGGGCATCTCCTGCTGGATGGCGGATATGTTAACAATTTGCCAGGTAAATAGTGAAAAAAACAACAACAACTACAAAAATTGGGTGTGTGTGTGTGTNTTGAGTATGGTTGTTATTATTCTTGATGCTTGTTTTTGTTAGTTTCAGGCGTAGCTGAAATCTTGCGCTGTTTTACGTAAAATAATGCGACTTTACTTATGTATGTAGTTTTCTGAGCTGTTCAGTGTCTTTTGATGGTAGAATTAGAGTGAAGTTTGCTTCTGTTATATTTTAGTTTTTGGTTTTTATTTGTGTGCATGCTTTAGCTGTAGGACTTCAAAGGATTGTAAGTAAGTATAAAGAATATTAATAAAAATGTATTACTTCAGCATAATCCCCCCACATCGATTCTATGTCGATCCAGTTCTCAATTTTTTCAACTTTATTTTAACATAATTTGCTTTCTCATGCCAGTACATTACATAATTTTCGTTTTAAAATCGTGATGTAAAAAACTCAGAATGTGTTTTCGTAAAAAACTTTATCTGTTAACCTTTCTTATATCTGTTAAATCATCTCTAAAAAGCCATGATTGTGAAAAATTACATAAACTACACATACACTAAAGTAATTACAAAGGTCCACAGGTCCTTTCCTTTGCTGGAAGAACTTTTTTTTTTGGGCTATGTATGCAGAATAGCCGTCATAAAAATGAAAGTAAAACGATCCCTCATTGATCAAAGTAAGGTTTGATGAAAACTATATTCTCTGGATTAAATTTTAAAACTATACTTGTTGAAAAATTTCAAAGTCGTTTTTTAGTTATGAAGTTCTTCCAGCAAACGCGAGCGATATGGCTGCCGCGGTTGATAACAAGTGAAATATAATTATGTATTCATTGAAATTTAAGGATTTTTTGCGTAGTCTAAGAATTTTTCTTTAGAATTGTTAAATTGGCTCTGGTTTTCAAGATATTTGGGATTAAAAGTGTCAAAAAAAGGTATTTTAGCCATTTTTGAACTTTTACGAGTTGAAATGAATGTTAATAAAAGCTTAAATTAGAATTCATTCCTACAACAACCAGGTCTACGTAACCAAAGAGGAATCCAGATTTATATTTGGCCAAGGACTGTCACTCTCCAAAAACTCTTGGGTATTTGTATAATGTTACAACAACAACAAAACTTATGTATGTATTTCCCTTTTATCATAAGAAAGCAAACATTAAGAAAAAAACAAATTTTTTTAATTAAAAAAATAATGGCGAATGCAATCTGAAATATACGGTACTGTTCATTCAAATTCAAAAAATGTTCCCTAAAATTAAAAAAAAAATAAAAAATTACATTTTTTTTTAATAAAAATTTTTTAATTAAATAAGTATGAGGGTACAATTTTTTCTTTACAGCTAAAAGTCCAATATTTTAGCTCTCATTGCAAAAGATCATTTCGAATTCAAGACATTATATTTCACAGCTGGTAAAAATCCGTGTTTTGCCATCTCTTAAATCCCAAATGTCAAAAACTAGTGGCAATTGAAGAATTTGAATTTCAGTTTCTGATTCCACGGAGTTCAGCGGAGAAACTCTATAAGAACAAGTGGTCACCGCCTGGTAGAATTTTGTTGGGCTGTGTAATTCTAATTATTATAAACTTCATTAACAAATCTCGGGATTAAACGACAAATATGCTATGTTTTCATTAAATTACCTCACATTTGTAAATGAAAGGTGCTTTCACACGCGTTTCGTAGTTTTGACAATTGATACTTGGTACAATTTTTATTGGGTATACAAAATAAATGGAGAAAAGCTATCCAGTATCGGGTTACCAAGTACCAGACTCGGTTGAAGATCTCTAAAATATTTTAATTTTAACTAACATACATATATGCGTATGCATACATAATCTTGAAAAGACTTTTTCACATTTCACACACCATTTCTCATGACTCCTAACATGCAAAAAACAGCGCTGCGTACCATAACTACGTGTTTTGTTATCAACAAATGTCTATTGATATAATCCTTTTTTCTTTATACTCTTTTTCATATGTTGCATTCAAAATTTTTGTGTTGCACAAATCAATAAATGAAAATACTCGTGTAAAAAAAAATTAAATAAAATGCAAAAATCACGTGAATACAACGTGCAACGTTTGCCGTCCGTTCGGTCGCAATTTTATTTTCACTTTCGTCACCACACCGGTCAACCTCAAACACCTTCGAAGGATGTCTATGGCGCTATGCGCGTGCGAGCATGTCCATAGCGGGCGTTTTTCCACCATTCTGCGATTATAGAGACGGTCATTTATTGCTCGATGGTTGTTACACCAATAATGTGCCAGGTAATAAAACACAAAAATCACAACATTCATAATTTAACATCTACTCTACCAACTCCTGCTATTCTCTCGAACTTGTAGAACTACCCAAAAAGCCAATAATCTACAGTCTGACACCCGCACTAATTGCACTTTGTACAATGCAGTTGTTTGATTGATTTTTTTTTTGTTTGCATGACTTGATTTATTTTTTAGTTTGGTTATTTATGGATTTGAACGGGGTTTTTTTTTTGGTTTAAACTGCAAATCTAATTGTGTAATTGTAGTACATGCAGCTAGGTAATCACCCTGCACTTTCTCTTTTAGTCCTCTATTGGCTAGTCCGTATTGGCTATTTGAATAAAAACAGCGTTAAAAAGTGAGATAATAACTACATATATTTAGTATTCAAAATAAAATTTCCCCTCTGCATATTTTTTTCTGGAAAAAAATCGTTTTTGTTATAGAAAATATTTAATTGGATGAATGAAATAGATTTGCGTAGCTATGTTGTTTACAAAATGTCATAACATTTCTATGAGATTTTTTAATCACATTTCGTGTATTTTATAGCCGACGTAATGCATAATTTGGGCGCTGCACATATTATTGCCATCGATGTGGGCTCCCAAGACGATATGGATTTGACGAACTATGGCGATGATTTATCTGGTTGGTGGTTGCTGTATAAGAAATGGAACCCCTTCACAACACCGGTGAAGGTGCCTGATCTGCCCGATATACAGTCTCGTTTAGCGTATGTTTCGTGTGTGCGCCAACTCGAGGTGAGTGCAGTCCAAATTTCGGCATTTTTTTTTTTTAATTTTGGGGATCCACAAGATGTTGGTAGCGTCGTAATGTCTTAAGGCTGGTTTTCACTATGCCATATTTTGACACAACCATATCTACTTTTCCCCAAACCTTAACCGATTACATTATGTGCGAAAAACGGACAGCTAGCCAATTAAGCAACACATGTAAACGACTGAAGACCTATTCTGATCTAACTCAATCGATAAACCGTCTTTTAGTTCTATTTAACAATGTGTTTTCACTCATTTAACGACAAATACCATTGAATTTGACATAGTGAAAACCAGCTTTTAAAATTGCAAATTTATTCAATATATATTAATGAGGATACTAATCTAAACATCTGAATGCCTCGTAAAACATGTATAAGTCTTAAATTTAAGATCCGTAAAGTTTGTTTGTGGGAAGTCATTCACCCAAAATCATCAAATGCTTCAAAATTTAGACGAGGAATATACATACATTTAGATCGCTCAAATAGAATATGTTGGATTCAAATTATGATTGCAAGTTGTATATTTTAGCGAAGAATTTGATAGTTGACTCACCTAATTGAGACCTTCTAAATTCAATGACGTCCCCGTTTTGCCAGATTGGCTCCGGAGGTGCTGTGCTGCCTACTGGATGCCAAACACTTCTTCTTGATACACCCGTGACTCGTTGATATGCATATAATATCTGAGTGATCAGAACATCCTTTGAATCTTATTGCTGTAATAGCGGCCGATCCGAGTAATTTGATCAATCCGGCAGTAGATTCCAGATTGTATTTAGGATGTATGCGGGCCACATAAAAAGAAAATTCTTTTAACATAAACATAGAGCCACTGCAGACCATAAGTACGGAGTTTCTAAGAACCTCGACTCTAGCGCCATCTATCGGCAGAATTTTTGTTTGAAAAAGTATTTTTCGATTTCGATGAACAAAATAAGACCATTAATACGAGCTTTCAAAATAACTCGACCCAGCGCCACCTAGCGGGTTTGTTTTTCTTATTGCATAGCATATAATAAATGAACATAAATCGAACTATAAATGTGAGTTTTCTAACTTGGTTTCAATCCGATAATTGGATCATGAATAGATTAACGATAATCTTAAATTTTTATATGAGAATTGAAGTCGGTTTTGTTTTTAGCTTAAAAATTACTTGTTAAGTATATTGACTCCAGCGCAACCTAGCGATTCAAAGGAATAAGTATACCACTAAATTATTTTTCATAAATGCACCATTTTAGAAAAAGTATTATTAAAATTGGTTCAGTATTTTTTAAGCCAAAGCGTTAAAAACATTCCCCATGTAATCAATTTTATTTAATTGCCCATTTATGCCATT